AAGAAGTCACAAAAAGTAATTTCTATCAATATATGGACATCTACTGAGACACGACACAAGAAAACATTGGTTGACTTGAAATTAAACAAGTAAACAGGAAGTTAAAATTTAATTCCACTGTTTCTAATCAACCCTGTATCGTAGGAATAAAACAGTAACTTTACGGTACTTTTTGTTTGATAGGGTATATCCACAACACATACCTCGCAGAATGCAATCCTATGAGATCGCCGGGGTGGCATTTTGGTAGGATTAAGCTCATGATTATGCTCTTTTACAAAGCCATATATGACCCACTTTCCTCCATCTTTGGCAGCTATCCTCAACATTGCGTTGCATCCCTCTCTGGTGGCTGCCCGTGATACAAGAACTCTGTTTACTTTGTCTGGATATTTTTCGGAACGAAAACCTTCTTTTGAACAAACAACTCCCGACCAATTATTGAGTTGTCTTTAAGAGAGCGGCGTGTGCGATTATTCCTTATGGTGAAGCCCACACGCCTTCCATACAGCTCATAAAATTCTCTAGCATCCTCTGCTGTTTCAAACTCCAAGCCAACATATGGTTCTAAGGGTTCCAAACTTAAAGGTAAACTTTTAAGAGATGGTTCAACGAAATCATTATTTCCATTTAGACCATCTGATAGCTCATCTTCCGCCGTGTCATGACCATCAAAGGTTTCAGCTAACCAACGCCTATATATTCTGTTTGAACTAAATCCTTGGGTGGAAGTACCATCCATAATTAACCTGCCTGCAAATATTACGATATACAGCATCATGAAGAATGCCAGAGTCAATAATGGACATATCAAAACCAATGCAAAACTTACATTAAACACACAGCATTTATAGCGTAGGAGTCAAAGACAGTCTACACATCACGTTATTTCATCATTATCTCCATCAGTCAAACTAGCCAATTCTACTAACTAGAATTTGTATAGAAAAACATGATGTTGGAACATGTAACCACGACGGGCCTAACCAAGTGGCTTCGGATGGCCTCTAATAGGCTCACTCAATCCTCCCCATCTAGTAATCCAAAGAAGTAGGGATATAGACACAGGACACAGTACGACATAACACAAAACCATATCGACATATAGACATTTGTCAGAAGTAGGGCACGGATCCATTGAGACATGCAACAAGTTCATCGAGTTTTGTTAATTACATACCAACACATGTTAATTTTTTTTGGTCATAGACAATGCCTAATTAAGTGCCTGACACGTCTCCAAAAGAGTGCCGGACACATGAGATTAAGATTTTATCTCTTAATTATGGACATGGCTTAACGAGGATCGGAGATCAGACTCCCATCATTGCACTAGACTACAACGCCAACCACTTCGTGTCTATGGTGCTCACTTTCATTTTAGTCGACTTCCCAAGAAAAAAAATACCTATTGCTGTCACACCATTAAAGCTTTGGTGGGACTTGTACCGCCTTAACCAAATGAACTTTACCTCTACAGCAAAAGAAAATAGTATGAGACATCACAGAATGACAAAAGGTGCAGAGAGAGAGAGAGAGAGAGAGAGAATTTACAATATTATGCTTGGGAAGTTAGAACCCATTTTGAACTATAGAGTAAAGCTAACTAATGGTCCTATTATTGGAAGTGATCAGTACTTATTATGAGTTGTATGCTAACAATTATCCGGGTAACTTATCAGCTGCTCAAAACTTCAAAATGTGCTGATAAAACTGTCTGAGCTAGTCCTCTGAGAAAGACCCTTTACAGATTTACGTTTGTTCTTCCATGATTGAGCTTGTTTCGAATTGCTCTTGCAAGGGGTGATCCCCTTCGTTTTCACATCATGATATAATAAAAAGGAATCATCAATAAATTTAAGTTCCGAAAAAAAGAAATGCTATAGAGAGAGAGAGAGAGAGGAAACCGAACCAGAGGAACTGTATGGAAATGTGCATTTAGAATCGTACGTTCTCAGCTACTTCGTCTCTCAGTCAGCCAGATTGTAAGATTACTGCTTTGAGGGTTTGATTGTAGCTTTGTGCGATTCTCGGCCATCAGAGACAGTAATTTCTTCTCGCGATATATGATAAACAAGCAAAGATCTGGGTAATTTGGGCAATTCACAATCCTTAACCTAGGCGTCGGAGTCTATGCCGGAGATGATGAAGCCGGAGTCGGAATCAAAGCCATTGACGGTAGAGGCTGAGGAAAGTGAGCAGTTCAGATCAGAATTAGTACGGTTTTATATGGAAATAACTTTAAAAAAATATCTATTTTTAGTAATTAAGCCTCTTATTTAAGAGAGTTTATTTGTTAACTAAAATTCAGCATTTAAAATAAATGTATTCGACTTTTATTAATTAAGTTTGTTTGACAATTAAAATTTTAAAATTTTAATATATTAAGTTCTCCTTAAAAATATGTTATAATATAAAACAAAATATCTTTTACTTAATTTTGAAAATTTACAACAAAATAATATTTATAATATGACTTTTTTATCTTGAAATATTTTATAATTCTACTAAAATTTTAATTAGTTTTTTTTCCAAAATGCCTAACTTATCTATCTTCCTTACCGTTTGAATTGTCTTCTTAAGCAAATGACACATGTCGGTCTACTTTCTTATCTTTTTCCCTTGTCTTTTGCGGCATACATATACATACATACTTACAAACACACAATTACACACGCATGCACTGCACACACACCCGCACGCACTCTACACACATACACATGCACACTAATGGTGATAATCAACGTGGTGTAGATTTATAAGTAGGTTGAATAATCAATATCTGGCTCTTAGGATCTGAGCTAGGAAGCTCAAGAAAGCGAAGACTAGTATCAATGGAAAATTGGGGATTGTTATAATGAAATTATAGTGGTTCACTAGCTCGGGAGCTCGGCTAATCCACTCTTTAATGGAGGCTCTTGATCATTTTTTCCTTTCTTTTTATTCATAAGGTTCACCGAATAGAGTTTATGTTTCTAGAGTTCTCCCCCATGCTTTGAGAGAGTTACGTGATATTTATAGGGCTATTCCTAGTTCTATGGGATCTGCACCGAGATCTTTGCTATTTATCCGAGGATTTCTCCTTAATCTTAGGAGAAGATTTTGGTTGGTTAAGGATTTTATACCTTGAGGATGGCTCTTTGCCACCTAACAGATTTTTGTTATCATCCAGCTGTCTCTATATCACTTCCACTGTTGGCGCGTCCGGGTAGGGAAATCTAGCTCTGACTTGAGCTCTGCGTTTCCTTCCTAACTTCTTATCTAGACCTGCTTGTCTAACCTCTTGATCTGATCCTCTAGTTTGACCTCATGATTGAAAATTATTCTGAGTATCATTAGTTGTCCCACAGCCCTTATCCCAAGTGAACTTGGGTAGGGGCTAACCTGAGCTGAGGCCTAATCAGGGCAGACCTCCAGATGTGACCTCGATTTGCTTGTGAATAGGTTTTTGACGATTTCAGGCAATCATTTTATTTTCTAGTTTCTCGTGCACGTTTTCCACTTTGTACCGTTAGCTTTAAATGCCTTTGATTTGAGGGGGAACGGTTCATTCCATCATTTGAACTCCCTTTCTACATTTTTCCCTTTCTTTTTCTTGCGACTTTCAGTCTTTCAATTTTGTTGGTGCCACTAGGGTTTCACTGAGGAAACGATTTTCCCTGATTCAATCCGAAGTTTCGACGAGATTCGCTCTTTGCCCCCAATTCTAGCTTTGGCCTACTGTTCCTCCTCTTCTAGGTACGTTTTTTACCCTTTGTTTGTCTCTTCGTTCTGGATCCTTCAGATTTGAAGTGGTTCTTGTATTTTTGGACTTTTCGATTTTGCTATTTTAGAAACCGAGGTCGATCGCTATCTCGAATTCCCCTTTTCTTGAACCCTTATTCAACCGCTAGGGTCTTCCTTATTGGGAGTTGCTATGTTGCTCTCCAAATCCTTAGGGAGTGTCTCGCTAATATTCCTCCCCTCTATCGTACCTTTAGACTCCCTTTTTCCTATCCCACCATGTCTGCCTCTTCTGAAGCCACCCTTTCCTCTGTTTCTCTTTTGGGGGATAGGACCGCTAAGGACACCTCGGATTTAGGCGAGGTAGGTGAGGAAATTGACAAATTCCCTGGGATTGTTCTGCTAAAGCCGAGGGAAACACCAAGGAAAATCCCCTATCTGCTCCCTCTACGCCTAAAGATTCTAGTAAGGGTAAGACCAAGGTGAGTAGGGTCGATGTCTCAGGCAATGCCGAGGGTGTAGGAGCTGTTGAGCTCACAAGCCCCAGTGAGGTCAGCCCGCCTCTAATGAAGGTCCTTAGTGCTCGTTATGGATTTCCCCAGGAGTTCAGTTCTGGTGCCTTGATAAATTTACCCCATATGTTTCCTAGATCCATAAGAAGATTTGTTTCTTTATTGCTGCCTTTGAAAATGGTTTACGCTTTCCCTTACACCCTTTTGTCAAGAGTGTTCTTCAACATTTCAACGTCTGTCCTGCTCAGTTGTCTCCCAACTTCTAAAGTGTGCTGGTGGGCCTCCTTGTTTTCTTCAAGCTACACAAGCTCGGTGTTCCCACTGTCTCCTTACTAGTGGAACTTTTCAATGTTAAGTATACCCCTATCAACGACTTCTTGTACATTTCTAAACGGGTAAAGGCTAAATAGATTATTTCTAACCTCCCGAACTTCCACAAGGGCTAGAGGAAACTTTTCTTCTTTGTGTGGGGAGAACACTAGGAGTACAATCCAGCTGACAAAATAGATACTCTCCCCATTCCTAGAGCCTGGTCTGCCCCTGATAACTTGGGTAAGTCCTCGCTCAAACTGTTCAAGCTCAGGTCTGGAGAACTCTCCTGACCTTATCTTGTCTTATTTTGTTTTTCAGGTGTTCGACCTGGGCTCAGTGTTGAGGACGAACAGGTGCTGCTGAGGTTGGAGAAGTGAAAACAAGAAAAATATTCTGAACTCATCAAGCCTTGGGTTCTAGTAAGGGAAAGGTTCAGCCTTCCAGAGGTAACATTAGAAGCCCCCATCCCACTCTCCATTGTCAGAGCTGAGGAGGTAGCAGGTGATGTTCCTTTCCATCTTCGCCCTTGTCCCCTTCTCTTATGTTGTCTCCTCCCTTCTCTTCTTTTCTCATGTTAGCTCTTCCTTGAGTTTCCAGGCTCTTCTTCAATGGAACCAACCGCGAAGGATCGAAATGCCAAGCTATCTTTGAAGAGAAAGAACAAGAGTGGAAGCAAACGCAGAGCTGAGGCCAGATTTGGAAGTGATTCAACTTCCAAAGTTCCAAGACTAAAGGTGACCTCTACTTCGCCTCAAGCCACCCAAGTGGGCCCCCCAACCTCCTTGGTCTCCCCAAAGGCTGCGCAGACCTCTCTCTCCTAGGAGACTAAGCTGCCCCCTTCCAGTGGGGCCCCTAAGCAAGATCTGCCCCCCACTTCTCCCTCTTCAGCAGAGGTTGAGAGAGCCTTGGAGATGGTTTCCCGCATTCTGCCAGGAACTATTCTCCCTTGTCCCTCTGAGGGACCATCTTTGAAACATTCTAAGGTCTGCAAGAGTGAAAAAGGGGGGAATGCTGAGGCAAGCTCGAGCTCTCTGATTGATAACGTAAAGCGAGCTGTAGAGGCCATCGCTTCCATCCTCCCTGAGTCTGACATCCAGTGGGCTTCTACTATGCCACTTGAGAGTTCCATTTCTATCGCCCTCTTTGTCACTACTTCCGTAAGCTTTGATGTATATGTTTATATATATATATGTAT